AGGGGCTACACCTGCGGGTGCACTCGCGCGCACCCACCGGCAAGACAAAAAATCCCCCGGACGATTCTGCTTAAATCGCCCGGGGGCTCCTGTCGGGTTCATAAACCCGGGGTCCCTCGGGGACCGGCTTCCACGCCAGGGCTCGGCCCAAGAAAACAGCATGTAGTTCATGGGCCGGCCCAAGAGTCTAAAACACAACGGGCCGGAAGGACAGTCCGGTCGCCGACCGGAAGGTCTACCCAAAGGAACAAACACCCGCTCGTCAACTTCTTCGGCCCACCTCTCCGACCGGAGCACTCGCTTCGAACACCAGCCGCCTCCGGGCGGTCTCTCTGATCGGAAGGCCTGGCCCAAAACGCTGCTTCCTACTCTGACCCCACGTCTCCGACCGGGGATCCCGTAGGAAGCCTGCTTACCGCTCTTCTCCGACTGGCGCGGCCAGGGCCGACTGGGGCCATCCGACCGGGGACACCCTCTCGGAAGGGACTAGGGGCGAACGGAGAAGGCAGCGCACAAGTCAAACCACGATACCAGGACTACGCCTGCGGGAACAGTGCTCCACAACCACCCTGACACAAACAGTATTGTAGGCGCCGACATTTGTGTCTACAGTATTGTAGGTGCCGTTGGACTCCCGTACGGCGAAAAGCCCCCACATGCCTCTAGGCATCGATAGTACTGTGGGCGCCAGGATTCACCATACCTGGTACATGTGGTAGGGCTCCTCACATACCAACAGTATTTTGCAGGTACCGACATCTACCCTTCCTGAAGAAGACAACGCAACCTCCCATGTGCACCTGACATTCTACAGTGACATCAACAGTATTGTGGGCGCCTACCATCATCACTGTCCTCATCGGCGAGGGCAACAAGACTTAGTAACATCCGTACTCTCTCCCTCTCACCTGTAAAGTCATCCCCTTCATCTATAAAAGGGGATGCGCTCCCTCCAACGAAGAGGTCGACTTCTTCAAGTTGAGATTCACTAGATCGATAGCTCACAACCCCCCAAGCACACGCTTAAACACCTAGCTCATAGCGGAGTTCCGGTCGCTCTCGGCCCTCCTGGTCGGACCCGACCGGACCTCTCGTACACCCCACCTTTCTCCTTCTTGTTTGTAACCCCACTATAGACTTCGAGCACCTGGGCTCAGAAATAAAGTCACCGACCGACCCAAACTGGACGTAGGGCACGTTGCCTGAACCAGTATAAATCATGTGTCATTGAGTGCTAGGCCACCTACGATCACAACGTACAGCAAAACTACAAATATTCACTAATTGGTCACTTTCTGTACCGACACTTGTCATTGTCACTACCGCATAGTAATAGATTAGATCTAGCACTTTTGTTAGTTACTAGGTATTTGCCCGTGTGTTGCTCCGGGCATAAATTTTTTTGGTGACCTAGCAAATCATGGCCCAATACCTAGTTCATGACAACGCATGTAGGATTTGCTACAAACACTAGTCAAGATGAAAGAAATATGAAAGCATTGTCACACGAAGCTCAATGTCGAATAGCTCACTTCAACTAAAAACAATAAAAGGCTTCAAGATTACATTCCATCTATCAGAGCTAACTAAACACAAAACCAAAGCACTTATGAAATATTTTTTCAAAAATAAATCATCCATCATGCTCTAACAATCATTCATTTAGTCTTCTACACAAGGTATGCATTGTTTTGTCGATTAGTTGCTCCCTCTTGCCACTCAATGCAGCTACTGAGGCCCCCTTGCATGTATTCCGATATTTGCGTGTGGTGGTCGCAGACCAGATATACCAAGGTGCATGGAAATATTCACCAACAGTTGCCCTCTTTTTTTTTTGAATATGCAAAAGGTTTGCACATCATTGCAGGAGAGCTTGAAATTACAAAGCCGCATGATGCCCTTGCAAGTGCTCTGGTCGGCTCCCTCAAAAATTTAACACAGTTGCCCTAAGAACAAGGAATTAAAAGAATGTTGCAATTATACATTGAAAACAACCTTATAGCTAATTAAAAAATGGAGTAATCAATGATGCACCTGAGCAATGGTGGTATGGATAAAAACACGAAGAAAAAAAGAGAGGATATGTGGTTGAAAAGAATAATAAAAAAAGAATGCTTTGACAACTATGTTTCCGTCTATAACAGATTCATCATGGTTGTGATAAGAACAGGAAAAGACAAAGTTTAACCAGGAGGCAAAATAGTGGAAGCATATGGAAGTGCCTTCAATTAGGTCGCTATGCTTACCTGCGTTGATAAGTCTCCCTAGGTATTGAGACCACCAAACCAATCTGAAACATGAAGTCGGTCTACAAGAACCTTATGAACATTTTACGCACTGCCGCTACTGTGTTTGGTACAGTACTTTTCTTGGTTAAGTACTTAAGTTCGCCAACAAAATTGGCTGCAGCATGCATTAAGTCTGAAAGAAGCTAAATTCTCATTGATACAATTTCTAAGAACAATAGCATCCAAAAAAAGGGATGCAAGTAAGGTTGGCATAGCACCTCCAGGGAGTCTCCCATTCGAATCACCTTTAAAATGAGTTTAGAATCTATATTATTGGCCATGGACCATGGTGTGATGCTCCATTCCAAGATCTCAGAAGAAGTTTCAGTTTCACTTTTCTGTCCATCCACAAACACAATATCCGACTTTAGAAGAATTGAGATACTTATATGTATTGTCTTTATTGAAAAATGTCCATCCATGTGTCCACCTGTTATCTTCAACCATCTTTGCAGTTAAGATGGGATTTTTTTTTTCTAAAATCCCCATAATTGCCACAATGTTACTGATCATCATGTTACTGTTAATCAAAAGGTTGAAGGCAATTAGTTTCCCTTACCTCAGAGCAGCTAACCACTGTCCGTTTGTCTCATTTCCTTGCAAGCCTAGGATGTGTTTCTTCGGGGGTTGGGCTGAGTGGGAGGCCCAGGGACCACTCCCACAAGTTGGGCGACCCCCCCCACCTATGGCCCACTTTGGCTCCATTTTTACTGGTGGACCGTACAAGTTAGTGGTTTCCAGAATATACGCATTTGTCATTTGATTAAGTATTAGCAACATGGGTTATGTTTATATTTCAACTTAAAGTTGCACTTTGTTGATGATGAGAGTGGTATGTAATGACCGTCAACAATTGGATAGATAGATACTCAATCAGCCGTGATCCTCTCATATAAATTGAGTTGGACGGTCTTATTCGAGTAGTAAACTTTTTTTACATGCAATCTACAAATTTCCCACGAGATCGAATAAGTTTTCAAAGGAAAAAAAACATGAAATTAGGCTCAGACTACCAAAACCTGCCTAGACTAGTTTACACAGGGTCACAGAAGCACTTAGGCAAAACTGGCTAGGCCGATTTAGTCTGCACAAACTGGCATAGGCCGGTTTTTCTAGGATGGTGCCAATTGTGTCCAAATTGCTCCAAATTTGATCGTTTCTTGTTTGGACGTGTTTCTTAATCCATCTTTAACTTTTCGATCATATTTTAATCGTCAACACTCTCCAAGACTCCAACCTAGTCGGGTTTGAATGATCAAGGCTTATAACACTCAGGCAGAACACTCTCCGATCATATTTACGACAGTACGAGTAGGGTGCTCCACTCGACTCTAGAATGCAAACCGACAGATGCAGTCTCGCAAGGCAACCATGGTCCGAACTGGGGGTGCGGGATCATGTGCATTGCCTTGATGTCTGGATCACACTGATCAGGATCAGTGACGCCGATGCACATGGGGAGGACCGGAGGAAGCCGGATCCTGGATGCAATGCATGGGCCGCAAGTCCTAACTTGCCGTGGCAAGTAAAATGAGAACCGTGGCCCAAGCTGTCTGCTACCGTGACGTAGTTGCATTATTTCCTTCTTTTTCTTACTTATTTACTTAATTACGTGGTATTACGTGGTTCGTAAAGGACAAAGAAGAAGTTAAAAATAGCTTCGTTCGTAGCATTTCGTGCGTACGAAGAGGCGAAGACAGACAACTGACTGTGCACTGGATCGCAGGATCAGCAGCCTCAGTCGCTTCCCCGTTGGCGTTTTCGTAGCGCTGGACACGGTCACACGGCCGTCGTTGTCGCGGTGAGGTCCGGCTTCCCCCACTCGTCACGCGAGATACAGACCCCTACGCAACTTTTGTACGCTAGCCCTTTAAAAGTTTAAAAAGTAGTGGCCAAATCATCTTGCCGTGTGGTGTGGTGTGGTGTGGCGATATGCGATTGCGCCTCTTCTTTCGCACGGCCCTTTTGGTCTTGATAACAGGAGGTCGCCTTCTTGCTTGGAGCCACGTCCGCGATAGCGCCCTTGATGCGGAGAGCTGCAGCAAACACACCAGAGGAGATGCCAATTGCCAATCATAGCTACGGCACCTGCAATCAAATTGGTGTTCGCCCCCTGTGTTCGCTTGAACTTATTAGCCATGTTATATTGTTTTTCCCTCATAACAAATCAGCATCAGCCGGCTTATCAGCCGCATAAACCATTAACCAAACATACAAAATCAGTCTTGGTTTTGTATGGATCTCCCCTGCAAAATATCATTTATCATAAAGAGAAATTTCATGGCCCTGGCATAGTAACTTTATATACTCAGCAAGCACATATTATAATAACATACAAAACCAGTCTTGGTTTTGTCTCATCGTCAACTCTGGAGCAACCACGCACATCTCAATGCTCAAAGTAGGCGGCCAAAACCCAGGTATTCTTATACCTCCAATAGTACAAATCAGGGCGAGCAAGCAAGACTCACATCTTCCACCGTTACTTAGTATACATATTCCTAGGATTAGATAGCAGTACAGGCGAAAATAGCAAGGGCTTATTCCAGGACATCTCAGCTACTAGTAGCTTATTACAGTACGTAGCAGCTAGCCATCTAGATCCATACAATAACCACATATCAAGTTATCAACATCGTTCTTGTTGACCAGGAGGAGGCTAAGGAAGCAAGGACGTGGGAGAAAGCAGGCACCAGCTTAGTCTATTTACACTCACGCAGGATACAAAGGGACCACAGATTGTGGGCAGTCCAACCTCTTACCGGCGAGGGAGTGGTATGCAAGTATCTGAGCATGACTATCTACACAAGGTTCCCCATCTTCCATCAACCGACCTGCGTTCTCGGAATTGGGAGGTGTAAACTCTATGTTCCAGAAGGGCCTCGCCATGAGCATGAGGTCTCGGCCGGTTTGAGACGCTTTGTAGCCCTGAACCCATACGTACCTCAGGGAAGGCATACGTAGTATTGCGAGGGCCAGAGCTCGCTCGCTGAAGCAACAGCTCCTGAGTTCAAGCTTTCGCAGGTTTACGCATCCCAATGCGAAACTAAACAATCCATCATCAGTTTCCCCAACATTACCGAGAAGCATGTATTGGATGTTCCCACTGCACTGTCCAATGTAGCCGAGACCTGCATCTGAGAGCCCTCCTGGTCTCAAGTACAGAGCAAACCTCCGAAGTTTGGTGCAGCCCCTCAACAAAGCTCGGACACCAATGTCCAGTGGCAATTCTGTTATCCTCTCTTCTCTATCAAGAAGAACAAGCCGGAAGTCATGGAGCTTTTTGCAGAATGTCCCGATAGATTCCAGGGCCCCATTGGTTATATCAGACACATAGGCAGCTATGTATTCCAGTTCATGGCAACCTACGGCTATAGCCGTCAAGCCCACTTGAGAGACCCCTCCTTGCTCTTCTTGCACACCTCCTTCATCGTCTCCTCGCTCAATTCTGAGCCTTTGGAGCTTCTTGCACGTATCTGCAACAACACCTAATCCTCTATCTCCAATGACATTCCTCACCTATTGAAAACAAGAATATATAATGTCAATTACGATAAAAAAAAGATCGTCAATTGAGTATCTTCATAATTTACACGAGCAGGAGATATTACCGCGAGAACTAGTAAGTTTGGACATTTTGCAATAAGCTGGCAATGGTCTTCAGTGGTGAGGAAAGTGTACTGCAAATCCAGCTTCTTCAGTATTGCAGAAAAAGGAAACATAATAGGCATTTCATTTGTTCCCATGAAAGTAAGTCCCAAGGAGCATAGTCTTGATGGAAATCTGACATTCCCATACATGGTGAGTTCCCCTTGCTCATTGAATGTCCCTCCAGCAAATTCTTCCAGTGCTGTGGCAAATTGGAAGAACCCTATCAAATCTGAAAGATCACAGTCACTAATCTTCAAGGAAATCAGTGACTTGCAGCTCTTTGCAAGAAGCTCTAGGTCAGCTGGCATCACTTGAAGCTCAGTCATGTGGAAATTCAATGTTGTCAGAACAGGACAGCTGACTGCAAGATCGTGGATCCATTCCCTGCCTTTATCGTTAATTTGACATTCTTCCAGAAACAAAGTTCTCAGTGATCTGATGAAATTTAGCACCACAAGTTAGTGTGATGATTTCGTCACAATATTAGCAGCTAAAAGAATACTAAAGGGGAAAACCAAATAACAAAAGGATGCACTACAGCCTACAGGCAAATAAATGTAACTCCCTTTTTAAGCAATCAAAGAATAACAATCCCTGTCCTGACACCTAAAACTGTATGTCACGGGGGTGATCAGGAAACACCAAAAGCTCCTAGCAGCATACAGAAAATGATAGACCTACGCCACTGTTTACATGTTGCTTGGGCATTTTGTTAGAATTTTAGAGCCAAGAGAATCACAGAAGTTCAACTCAGCCAGTGGATATTATCCTTGTTTTAATTTAACTGGACTTGCATTAAATATTCCCAACAATCATGCTACACGTAAATTTGGGGTCATTTAAAGACTCCTTTTCTGGTAGATCTATCCAAAGACAAAACACAGCCCAACCTTTCCATGTTCCCAGTGGTTTGCTCGATGACTCAACTTTTCTTTATATATAATATATATCGAATAAGGCATCCCATAATCAAATTATTCACAATTAACACCATCAATTAAACTTTCTTATTTGGAGAAATCTACAGCAGAAGCCACGAACTGTAATGATACAGGTTTGAAGATGCACTCCTAAGACTTCTGCGGATCTTCTATGATTAGGAGTTAGGATCTCTAATCATTTGAGGGCAGTCCACCCAATTTTTAGCGCTAGATCTCAAACCTGCTTTTTGGTAAAAACTCTCCCTAAGGTAGCACAAGTTTCTACTTGCAGAAAGTGATGGGTGCTATGACTCCACAACCGTTTCGGGGAATCAACGACTAGACAGTAGCTACGCCCACCCAGATCGGAGCTAACAAGAGCAAGAGAATCGAGGAGTACGAGTACCTGCAGGAGTGGGCAACGAGGCGGAGTCCATCCGTGGAGAAGCCGGTGCACTTGTCGAGCTTGAGCTCCTGCAGCATGTGGCCCCTGGCACGGACGAGCTCGGCGAGGTCGTTGTCCGTGACGACCATGCGGCGGAGGTGGAGCGCCTTGAGGCACTCGAGCGGCGCGGCGAGCTCGGTGACCCAGGGGCGGGCGTAGGCGCCCCAGTCGTCGGGTATGAGGCCGTACATGGCCGCGCGGGGCTTCCCCTTCACGGCCAGCGACTCGAGCCGCGGGAACCGCGCGAGCAGGCGCGCCGGGGACACGGCGTAGCAGAAGGGCACCGTGACGTGCTTCCGCGAGAGCGCGTCGACGCGGTGCCACCGGCGGCACACCAGCGACGCGGCCTCCCGGTCGCGCGGGTCCTCGACGAACCCCATCACCAGGTGCAGCATCTCCTCGGGAACCCAGCCGCCGTCGCCGCCGCCGATGCTCAGCGCGCGGGTCAGCCACCGGGGCTCCGGCGCCTCCCCGCCCATCGATCCCGATCGCGCTGCGGCCTGCGGGCGGATCAGGCGCTCGCAGGCTCAGCTGGCTTTTTTCTACCGCAGCAGCTCCACGCCGGCTCGCCGAGGATCTGCTCCAGAGAGGGGCGGAGACATGGGATTCCCTCCCTCCTCTGCTCCCACTCGCTGCTGCTGCTCCCACTCACTGATTCGGTGGTGCTCGGAGGTGGAGCAAGCAGCGAGGAGGAGAGAATTATTGGAGGGAGAAGAGAGAGTGGAGAAGAGGACGAGGTGGGGTGGGGCTTGGGGAAGCGGCGTTTACTTCTGCGCGATACAGCTGGGGATGCCGAGCCACGTCGGCTGGGGGCCGGGCGGGGAATTGGCTCGGCGCACACGCACGCACGACACGGACACGCACCCTGTCGCCGCCGGCGGGCTGGTGTCCCGTGTCTTTTGCTCCTCTCCTCTGTCCTCGTGTGTGTGTGTGTGGTGGGTCAGGTGAACTGGTGATGAATAGGACGGTAGATTTGAACCGGGGGCCGGCATGCCACAGCAGCTGTACCATGTGAGCGTTAGTTGAAGGCGATCATTATCGTCAGACTTGTACTTTTGAGTCTGGAGGCCAGTAACTTTAGTCCTTCCTAATTACGCGTTAACATGATAAGTCATAGGTGATGTAAAGTGAACTCCCTCTGCTACAGGAATCTACTTTGTTTAGTCAAGCGACTAGTATAAGAGTCAGAATTACGGTGCATAGACATTTTAGTTGAAAATATTTTCAGATAAACGTTTTTTCTTCAAGAAATGATGTGATCAATTTAGACCCTGTTTGATCCATAAATCTAATAGTTAACAGCTAGTAATTAGCTCATTTGTATCTAAATAGGTACAACTAATAGTGTCGGTGCATAAAGTGACAAACACGTAAATATTTGTAGTTTTGTTGTATATTGTGATCGGATGTGGCCTAGCACTCAATGACACATGATTTATACTGGTTCAGGCAACGTGCCATACGTCCAGTTTGAGTCGGTCGGTGACTTTATTCCTGAGCCCAGGTGCTCGAAGTTTGCTGTGGGGTTACAAACGAGAGGGGGTAAGATGGGGGTGCAAGAGGTCCGGTCGGACTCTAGACCGCAGGGTCGAGAGAGACGGGAGCTCCTACGTGCGCTAAGTATTTGAGTGTGTGTTCTGTTGGAATCGTTCGAATCGTAGGTTGTTCGACTCTGTGAATCGATCTATCTGTCCATTGGAAGAGAGCGCATCTCCTTTTATAGATAAAGGGGACGTCTTTACAAGTGAGAGAGGGAGAGTGTACGTATGCTACTAAGTCTTGTTGCCCACGCCGTCGGGTACAAGATGATTGTGGTGCCCACAACACTGTTTATGTCAGACGCATGTGGGAGGTTTTACCGTATTCACCATTTAGGGCAAATGACGGCGCCCACAACACTATAGGGCAAACGTCGACGCTCACAACACTGCTTGGGTTCTGTCATGCCTGTACGGCGGCAGAGCACCCTTCTGACATGCCCTGTCGGTACTGTCCTACAGGTGTACAGGGTACGGTCTTTGGTATTGCTGTTGACTTGAGTGCCCTGCCTTATTTGCTCCGCCCGTTTCCTGGGTCCTCACCGAGCGGGCGTCTCCGGTCGCTTGGTCTCAGTCGGCTCCGACTGTGCCAGTCGGAGAAGAGCTGTAAGCAGAGGTTCGGCCTTCCAGTCGAAGAGGCAGGCCGGAGTTGGAAGCGAACGTCATTCCTCCTTGGCCAGGCCTTCCGATCGAAGAGACGGGCTAGAGTCGGAAGCGAACGTTGTTCCTCCTTGGCCAGGCCTTTCGGTCTGAGAGGCGGGCCAGAGTCGGAAGCGAATGCCGTCCCTCCTTGGCCAAGCCTTTCGGTCGGAGAGGCGGGCCGGAGTCGAAAGCAAGTGTTGCCCTTTCCTTGGCCAGGCCTTCCGGTCGGAGAGGCGGGCCGGAGTCGGAGATTGGATTGCCTTTTTGGCCTGTCGTTAGTTTTTTTGGCCCAGGAGTTGCGCGTCATTTGCAATGTCGTCTGCTGGGCCGAGCTTTTGCTGGGAAGCAGGTCCATGAGGGACCCCGGGTTTATGAACCCGACAGGAGCCCCCAAACCCCCGGACGATTCGGGTAGAATCGTCTGAGGGATTTTTGTCTTGACTGCGGGTACGCGCGAGCTCACCCGCGGGTGTAGCCCCCGAGCCCCTAGGTGATCCGGGTAGAATCGTTTGGGGGTTTTTTGTTTTACCAGCGGGGAAATTTTTCGTTTCGACAGCAGGTGCGCACGAGCACACCCGCGGGTGTAGCCCCCGAGCCCCCGGGCGATTCAGGCAGAATCGTCTGGGGGGTTTTGTCAGCGGGCGTGTGTGTGTGCACCTTGGTGGGCGTAGCCTTCTCTTTCCAGTTTCTGACCCATTGTTTCTAGGAGCGTGGTCCTAGGTGTTTGGTCACAGCCGAGGGAGTGGGCAAGGCGGAGTCATCAACCAGGGCATCGGCCACGTCGAGGGATCGGACGAAACGGACTCGCGGATCTAGGTGTCGGGCGTAGCCGAGGGATCGGGCGAGATGGACTCACGGACCAGGCATCGGGCGCAGCTAAGGGATCGGGCGAGTCGAAGTCGTGGATCCAGGCGTCGGGCGCGCCGAGGGATCGGGTGAGACGAAGTCGTCAATCAGGGTGTCGGGCGTGCCGAGGTCGTGCCGAGGTGTTGGGCGTCCTGAGCCCTTGAGCCCCGTTGGGCTCGGTAGGGATCAGTTGAGTTTCATGCGTTACCCCATCCGCGGTTTCCACAACCGGAGGGGCAGAGCTAATGTTGCTTGCCTGAATGACTCGAGTGACGTGCTCAGTGAGCTCGCTAACGGGTACGTTCGAGTGGAATCCATGTGCGTCATTCTTGACGGGGTCGACATAGCCCTCATGTGGCATTCCACTGCTCCTTAACCCGCGTCCCGGAAGATGCTCGGGTCATTCCAGAGACCGACCCAGGTGTCCCGCTGGCCTCCCCTCGATGGAGATTCTGTGGGCATGGCTCGAGGTTAGTATCGAACAAGAAGGTTGAGATGACCTTCTGCTTCGGAGTAGACTGGGCAAGGGCCGCTGGGGCTCATATGCTTTTTCTCCCCTGGCTCTGTTTGACGCGAGGCGGCATCGAGCCCTTCGTGGGCCGGCCTTCGAACCCCGGTCGGTCATTGCTCATGTTGAATGAGGCAACTGCCGCTTCGTGACACAACACAGAGCGTTGTGATGCATCAATTGCATATGCGATGCTTCGGATGTATGGGATGAATGAATGACTTGTATGAATGAATGTGTGAATGCATTTATAAGAATGGATGAATGAATGTTTATGCATTCAGAAAATAAAATGAAGTAAGTGGGATTGGTAGAGTTACCTTGATGACTCGAGTGACAGGTTTTGGAGAGTTTTTATTGAAGATGTCCGAATGGGATCCGCGCTCATCGTTCGTGATGGAGTCGGCGTGGCTCGCATGGGGCGTCCCTCTGCTCCTTACATGTCTCTTGGCGTTTGCCTGAGCCATCCAATTGACTCAGGAAGCCCGCTAGTCTCTCTTAGGCGGAGATCCTATTGTTGGGCCCTTCCAAGTCTTGCCTGGGAAGGTGGAGGGCCACCTGCGCGTAGTTGCGCCTTGTTTCTCGGTGGCCAAGAGCACCGCCGGAAGTCATAGCTCACGCCGGAACTCCCGACCACCGGAAGTCCCGATGTGCTCTGGGCCACCGGGAGTTCTAGTGCCTTCTCCCTTCCGGTTGTGCCATCGGAGGTTCCGATTTCTCCACCCCATTCCACCGCCCGTGCCTTGGTGTTCTTCTTCGGATCGGTGGTGGAGATTTTGTTGGTGGAGGTGCTCGCACTTGTGGATTTGTTCGTGGACTGTGATTTCATCTTTCTCCATCTCCTCTTTCCTCGATTCAAGGTACTACCATGGTGCCCTAACCCTATTGTCAATGTACCTTGCGCTTTGCCTCTATTCTTTCTCCCTCTCTACTCCTCTATCCTCCTTGTATGAATGTGTGTCACGATTTGAAGCTCCTTGAATGGGATGGTCACCATGTGTGCCGGAAGTCTCTGACGGCCATCGGAGGTTCCGCCCATCGGAACTCTCGATGCCAGGTCGGAACTCCCGGCTGTTGGAAGTCCCGACTATGGCCGGAACTCCCGACCCTAGGGTGACCACTCCATTCATGTTTCTTCAATTCTCAATGTTCGTTCGCTTCTCGTTGTCTTGGTTCTTAGTTCCCCTTCGTGTTTTCTGCAGTCATGGACGGTGGCAGTCCCTCGCGTCACAAGGAGAAGAGGTCCAAGAAGAATCAGGACTGTGCTGCTGTCCCCAAGCCGTCTGGCCGCACTAAAGCGGCATATCCCCATGCTAGTGCTAGAGGTCCCCATGCTGCTGGTGGTGGTTCCCATGCCCGTCACCGTGATGATCAAGGACCATCTGCTGCCGCTCCTCCTGCTCCGGCCTTTGTTGGGGATGTTCCGATTGTTGATGCCGAAGAAGAAGCTCTTGAGCGTGCCAGCCACACCATTGCTGCTCCATCGACTCACACCCTAGGCTTCGTCACTGCGCTCGTTCCCTTCTCGAGCGTTTCACCGATCATGCAGGAGCCCACCATGGCTCCTAATCCTGCTGGTGGTTGGACTCCTCCTCTACCAGTGGACTACCATCATCGAGTTAAGGACATCAGGTCCATGAGGGGAAGAAACCTTTATGCTAAAGATGAGAAGGATCTCAGGCTTGAATATCGCTTGTGGCACCTATTCCATTATGACTTTTATGATTCCATTCTCTATCTGAAGTTTTTGAAGAAGGGAGCCACCAGTCCTTCAGATGAAGTGCTTTGATGCATACTCTCTTGGTAAGTTCAAGGAGCCTAAGCTAGAGCAGATGGTTCATGATATACACTCAATGGGGCTGTCCTACCTGCTAGAGTTTAGGAAGCATTGGAACAATGAGCTTATTTATTAGTTTTATGCTTCCTATCATCATGAGCGAGACCC